AGCCATGGTGTTATGTTCAGCTGTAAGGGACTCATGTCAACAATTTTTGACACTGCCAGTCAAGCGGAAAACTCAATACCATTATGGACTACTGGACTCTTTTAGAATATTTTGCTGAGTTAACATACCTGTAATATTCAAATGATGGAACTAAACAAAAAAGGGGATGCAGATGAATGCCCATTTTGTATCTATGTATTCAAAATGGTTAGGATAGATATATAGTTACATTCTCTTAATGAATAGAGGGATTTGTTCTAATAGTGTTTGCAAATAGGATATCATGTCTGCATCTTGTATAGCAAATAACCACTAGGAAGAGAGTATGCAATGTATTAATTATTGGAACTGTCCTACCAATTTGATTTGAAACTGTCTCATTGCTATTTGTTTCTCAATAAAATTATGGGAAAAAAATTAAAAGAATTGTCCAGTCTAGGGTGCCATCAGTACCTGGGCCACCATTTCCTACTTCCATCTAGGAAAATGGCCCTTCCAGCCTTACCTTCTGTACACTCCATTCTCCCCCTTCTCAGATCTACACATGATAGCAAAAGATGTCAGACTGTGAAGTCTACCTCTCAAAAAGAATATTCTACTCATTCTAAAGTTCTGCTTACAGGCAAGTCCAACCTGTGGCCCATGGTTTGGACGCACCTATGTTATAATAAAACTTCTTCAAAACATTGTTGTTCTTATACATTAACTGTATCATTTAGTTTATATTCAGGCCAATGCAATTCCTCTTCATCCAGTGCAGCCCAGGCAAATCAGGCATATGTAACGCACAGGCCACAGGCTGGGCAAACCTGCATGTGTCCTCATTACCTACCAGATGAGATAAAATCCACTCTGTCTTAACACCCAACTGCCTGCCCAGCCCTACATCCAGCATTCAGACCTGACTGCCTCCAATTTAGCATCATCCATCTTAAGCCTCAATAAATCTAAATTTCCTTTAAACCCCTCCCTCTCCCAATCCAGTTCCATTATTCATACTGTTTCCTCTGCTGAACATTTCCTCCTCTCCTCTCCCCTTTCAAATCCTACTTATTCTTTAGGATCAAGTTTTGAACTTCCTCTTCCATAAAGTTCATTGATCTCCAAGCCAGGAAGGGATGTATACACTTCATTAGGCTTTGGCTGAAATATTTCTTAAGACATACTTCTATTTTCTGTCCTGTACTGCAAGACTGTGTAAGACTCCTCTTATTATATACAACATACTTCTTTTACTAATTGTGGTTTCAAAAATTAAATAATTGTAACTGCTGGGATTGGATATATTGCTCATAAGAGACCAAATTAAAGGAATGACAGAGTCTTTATTAATTGAGCTGGTGACCAACGTGCTTCCCCCTCCAACTGGGGAAAACACAAAAGACCCAGGTCTTTGTCCCTACCAGCTTAGATAGGTCTTTTTGTTGTTGCTGCTGTGGTGATTGAGCAAGAATGTGGTGCCCCCTATATCCTATATGTGCGAGGTCTCGGGCAGAGAGATTTATAGCTAAGCATTGGCAAATGGTCTGGCTCTTATTGCCCTTAATTGGTCCGATCTCCTCCTTATCTCCTACATGTTTGTGAAGTTTTGACAGAACAGAGGAAGGAGTGAGGGATGGGATAATTTAGGCAAGACTAAAAGGGAAGGTGGCCTGGCCCAGTTGTCTTATGTAAATACTTCAGGCAGGGGTCAAACTAAATTGAATTCTGCCTCAGTCTCTCCTACTTCTAAGGGGAATAAGGGATTATGCTAGATGCCATCCCTTAGATAACAACTAAATTAATACTAAAGAGACATAAAGCTTAAAACCTTCTGGATTTGACTCAGCTTACTTGCTAACTGTATGTCCTTATTCTTTCTCAGTTTTCTCGTCTGTAAAATGAGGATGATGATAACTCCTGACTTGTAAAATTATGAGATAAAATAAATAGCTGTTTAGAAGGTACCCAGAAGATTGTCAGACACACGAAGGTACTCCAGAAGTGTTTTCTCTGGTCTATATTTATGAAACGGAACACGTGGGCGCCATGCAATGTCGAAGGCTAGGGCTCTTATTCTGACAGGCATTCACTTTCCTTGATTTGCTGCATCATGATGCAGCCACATCCCTTGTCGCTGTGCAGTCCTGTAGAATGGAAGTGACAGCATAGCTTTCTTTTTTTTTTTTTTTT